GATACAAGATACAAACTACTATAAATCGGACTCATTATTAGTCATAAAGTCACGCAAGTAATAATTACAAAATGATGACTATTATTATGACAATCTGGCGCAAAAATATGATTATAGATCAAATAGGAAAAAGTTTTATTGACATGATCACAATGTATTGCACGTGGAATACTATTGATGCCTTGTACAGATAGGCATACTTTGTCTATACCAATATAATATACTTGAAAAAATAGCAATGCTAATACAAGGGATATGGTAAATTAATATTGGTGTGGCTATCAATTTTCTATGGAAATGCTACAATTCGTACATAGAGATTAACTTGTTGCTTAAAATATACAAATTAGAAATAAATAATAAAAATGATAAATTTATTGCAGTTTGAAATACTCATATGACAAAGTTTTTAAAGCTACCTTTAAGTGTTCCATAATATTATATCTCTTTCTATTCCAGCCAATCATATGCGATTAAAATTAAGCAAAAAGCAATGTTACACCAAATGTTCGCACACCTCGCAATAAAAGTGAATGTTTACAAAATAGATGCATAGGGGTTGAGCAATAAATCAATCTGAATTCGATTTGGTTCGCTCTCATTCTGCTTTATTATTTCATTTGTATTTGTATTATTTTGCGACTTTTAATTGTTTATTTCTGTTTGCAGAATACAAATTTCAACGCTCCGTATAAATGATGAAAAAAGTGCACCCATTGCGATAAAGCACATAAATATTTCAATTGCCGTTGGCAATCGGATAAACTGGTCGGGAGTGCATGACCCGAACATACCCTGTGCTTAGCTGCGAATAGCAGAAGCAATATTTGATAAATATGTCAAATACAAATGTATATACCGCATAAACTAGGCTTATAGATAATATGAAGAGAATTTTTGACCCGCTACGATAACTCGAATTTAGTGCTTTGTTATTTAACCAAATGATTGCGAGAGTGTTTGTCTTTCATTTAGCCTTTCGTATTGGATTTTAATGGGCACACGATATGAACATAAACAAGCATGGTTATTGTTTATTTGAAGCGCCGGCTCCCCACTCTCTCGATCATTAATTAATTACTGATGTGTGGTTAAGAACTGTTTACGAGTTCGCCTTTGTCACTTTTATTACTGTCGACAGTTTTCCCATTCACAATTCCAGATAACAAACAAATACAACAAAATATATGAGAAACAATTTATCGCTTACTCTGCAAATGACCTACGTCCCCCGGCCACCTTCTCGACTCCCACAAGCCAGCACAAAATTTCATTAGCGAAATTCATATATTCACCTTTTGTGGTAAACAGAGAAAACCTCATTTAGTTCGAATTCGTTATTTTTAGCTTCTTCCACCTTTTGCCTTAGTGTTTATTCTGCGAAAAGGTTCTTTGACCTGCGCTCAAATTGAATTTATTAACACGAAGTAAAAAATTTAAATTGAGAGCAGCAGCTTTCAATTAATTCGATTCTATTGAGACTGAAATATATTTATTTATACATACATATATTTCATCTAGTTAATGTGCACAGAACATAATGTCGAATATACATAAATCTAATCTATTTCGATCTTAGCAGTTTTATTTTGGTCCGCTTCCGCTCGATAATGACTAATTTCGGGACGTAATGGCCAGATGGCCGGAGACACCTGCTAATGACAAAATGCACTCACTCTATACGATGTGCCAATCGACTTACAGTTTGCATCAACTTTACAAATATCAAAATACATATCTAACTATTTAAGCCAAAGTTTTTGGTAATATAATCCCGTTTAAACATTTCTATTTGTAATAAAATCTATTTTATAACTCTGAAAATTTAATTATTTTCAACGCTCCCACTTTTCAAAGCAAAAACAAAGATAAGCAATTCCAATATACATATATAAATGTTTATCCAACAAATGATGTCTGCGTGTTTGTATATATGTACATATTCATAATCGTTACCCATACTTATTTATGCTTCTCACGTGCCTTTAATTTAATTTAGACACAATTTATCCACACATAAATATTGTTGATTTCTATATATAAATCTATATATATAAAAGAAAGTTGTGTAAAAGT